TGGTTATTAAACCACAGTTGTGCGGTGTCCCCAAGGTAGAACGTGAAGTACCCCAGCTTACTTGGGTCGTTTCATTTGTTTCTTGCGCCGACTTTGTCATACCTCGCCAGCCAATCTTCGACGTCCGACTCAGAGGAGCCCATGAAGATAGGAGGATCTCGTTGAGGATACACGGTGCCACAAGTTACCTGGACGATCGAAGGTCCCACCTGAAGAGGCGTCCTGGTGGCCATGTTCGTGTCACGTAGAGGGGGAAGCTTACGGGAGCGAAGTTCCAGGTTTGCACGGGAGTCCACACACCTCCACCAGATGCCACGTAGTTAATTTACGTACAGACCTACTGTAAGGCCGAGGAACGCCAGAAGAGTGAGAAACGTCAACAGGCCGAAAATACAAAACAAGCGCAAGCTCAAATCGCGCGTGTGCACCAACGCTGTGGCTTGCCGTTTCTTGCTGTTTCTTCGTCGTTCGCATAGTTTCCTACAGCATGTACATTGAGCACTATCTGACAAGAAAGGGTTGCTACATTATACTCGCTAGGTGTAACATCCTTAGTTTTAGAGCCGCAGTGCCATGAATACAGTGAACTAGCATATACCTTGAACTCGATGTGGTTAAAGGTGGGAAGTAGATACGAAGCGCAAGCCGTAAGAAAGTAAAACCCGAATTCTCCTGTCTGTCATTTCCCATTAGCAGCCATTGGCATGTACATTGAGCACTATCTGACAGGAAAAGGTTGCTACGTTATACTCGCTGGGCGTAACCTCCTTGGTTTAGAAAGGTTTAGCGAGCGTTGGGGCGCAGTGCCATGAATACAGTGAACTAGTATATACCATGAAATCGAGGTGGGTAAAGGTGGGAAGTAGATACGAAGCGCAAGCCGTAAGAAAGTGTGCGTGTGCCACTTCTCGTTTAGTCCTTGGAATTTCCACTGGATGGCAGTGCTTCTATATGGGGAATATATGATGAAAAGATGCGAGATCGGTGGTACTTGAAGTGTTGAAAAGATGGACGAACGGACCCACAGACAGATGCACTGGATGGACGCATGAACGGACGCAGGGGCGGATGTATGGACCAACGCAGGGACGGACGCGTGAACAGAACGCACGCACGGATAGGCGGATGGACGCATGGACGGACGGAAGCAAGAATGAATGGACGGACAAATGCTTCGCCCACTCTCCGTCACTCCCTCCGTGGATATGCTGCCATTCTTTTTAAACTCCCATAGGTAATTTTAACCATGTGACCTGAAACTCAGTGGGGAGTTTAACAAGGTCATGTCTTTCATAAGCTACGACCATAAGCAGGGGGCATTTTACGACGACATGTGCCGAGTTCACTCCGTTATATGGAGGAAATAATTTGGGTACAGGAGTTTTCGGGGGCTCATATTGCTTGCTTTCTTGGTTCTTTCTTTTGTGGCCCTTACCCACTAAGGAGGATTGGCCAAGAAGCCGGTGGTTAATGCAAGGCAATATCATTAGGTTATCCAGGCTAGGGGAATAGGATTACTTTGCTTTGATCTGTGGGATTATTTTGGCACATTGTGATGAAAAAACGGAAAGAAGAGAAATAATAGAATTTGTTGAATATCTGAGGGGTAATCGTTATATGAATTCTTCTGAAGGTTAAATCATTACAGTGTAATAGCAAAATAATAAATGTTAGATTGGCTAGTAAAATCAAAAGCCCCGCAGATGTTCTTGTCACTGCGGTCTAATGAAGCGGCCCCAGAAGACAAGGTATTAGGAGTAGTCAGTGATATTCTTAGTTTTTTAAATAAAATTTCTAAACAATTTTTTATTTTATTATTGAAACGGCGACATGTTAGAAGAAAATGTTCGATATGTTCAGGTTCATTACAGCTGGAGAACAGAGGGGATGGCACCAGCCCAGACCTGTTTAAGTAGAATTTAAGAGGTGGTACACGGCAACGTAATTTCGTTATAGACTTCGAGTTTACGCGAGAGACAACATTTATTATTCCAAGTGAAGGTGTGAGAAATCGCCGAATCGGTATTGTAATTTTTGATGAACATTCAAGAAGGGAAAGTATGCTTGAGAAACTTCAATCTCGTCCAATTTTTGCTTTGAGTATAAAAAGCACTCACAAATATTTTATGTAAGTAAAACAAGACACTCTAGTTTCAACTGGGAAGGTCAGATTAATACATTTACATAACCCACGCGGCAAGAGAAAACCTTTCGAAACTGATGCTTATTCTGTGGACTATTATTGAGAGCACGAGTGGCCCCATGTTAACGCGATAGTGTTAAAGAGCTCATTCAGCAGAAATTCCAGCGTTGGTTTCGGCATCATTGGTTGTTAGCGAAAAATTATCATCTCATGCGTGACTGAAAATCAAAAACAATACAAATGAAATAAATTATTAAAAATTTTGGCTAGAGTGGGGAGCAAACTAGGGGCATTTGTTGCTGAGTGGTGTTCGGACCCGAGTTATTTGCGTAGCAAGCGCCTATTCTACCACAAGGCCAGACGTCTGCTTGTGAAAACAGCAAAAAAAATCTTCCTCTGCTTGGAAATGCAGTGAAAGTAGCTTTCATGCTTTATGAACGCTCACGTTCCATATACATGCTTCAGAATGTAACATAAAATATTTCAGTAGGAATATTTTATAAAAGCGCCCATTGCCAGCCGGCGTCAGTACATGCGATTATGATAATCTCTTCTTGGTTTAAAGCTGGACACCCACTACAAAGGCCCAAACGATACTGTGCCTATTCCCCTAACACTACGTAGCGGGTGCATAGGAAGTTCGAAAAGTTTTATGCACTATGCTTTTGAAGTACACACAAGGAACAGAATATCACTGTCGTGCTCAGCTACTAAAGGCGAAGCTTCAGTCTTCTCACATTTTTTTTTCCTGAGATCTTCGCGTATTGCAAGAATGAATCAATTTCATCGTGATACGGAAGGTCTGGTTTCATCACCTAATGCAGGAAACGTGCGAATGGCAACGGCTAGCGTTAGTTTTTAGCTAACGCGTTGACGCCAAATTGAAGTTCAAATTAAAGTTTTTGTTATTTATCATACAAAACGGGAAGGTCGCCAATGCTAAAAGTTGTGAGAATAGCCTGACAAAGACCCTTGTGAACTCTACATACACACGACAGTAGCACGGAAATGATAAGTAAATAACTTGCAAGTACAATATCAGACCTCAACAATACAGTATTATTTCAAGAATGATTTCCACCCGATTATTTTACACCTAATATAATTGTTAAAAAACTGTATTTTTTTTCAAAAAGGCATTATACACCGTGCATGTATCATCGAATACATTGACACTTATGAGCTTAAAAAACGCAGACATGTACATTTGCTGTGAACACCCATACATTCATATTGCTAATACAACGCAAAATAGCAAGATGTAACATGGCTAGCACAGCCGAACAAAGGAGCATTTGCCTGCTGAACGTTCTTGAGAGCCCGTTCCAAAACACCGTTTTGTAGCGCGACAGTCAAGCATTGCGTATAGCAACGGCGCACCCAGACAGGCGGTTGGCAAATTGCAACCCTTCTCTTCCTCTTCTGTAGAATGGCCTGGTCAGATGAGAGCGACTGTTGCTGATTCGCCTGCGCATTGGCAGCTTCTGGACTGCAGCTCACATCTATTCCACGGCTCACTGTTCATTGCTTGCGCGCAGGTTTGACGACGACGAAACGCTGGAGCATATCATATGCTCCTGCCCAGCCCTGACCGTAAAAAGAGGCGTGATGGGCGTCCGTTATAGGCCTCCCAACCTCGGCCAGGGGCTGGGAGGCCAGGGGTTGGAGGCCCAACTTTCCGAGAAGCTGAAGTTGGGAAAGTGTGCCGAAGGCTTTTCTCGTCTAGAAGATGCAGTCTGCTTGCCCACCTCAATAAAATGCGTAGACTAGGTCGTTAGAGATCTCGAGAAATTAAGTCGTACATGAAAGATCTCTACGAAAACAATGTTGAGTCTTCACTAATTATCTGTACTTCAATGAATGCTTCATTATAACCTTGTATATTATGTGCCTGATAATATTACACATTATTGAAGTGAAATAAGTCGATAAGTTGAGATGACTTTTATGGGCTTCTATGAGATCTCTTTTTTATGTTCAGTCATTATCTATGTGTTTTCATACCAAAGCAAGGGAAAGTATTTGAAAAAGTGGCACAAGGCTTTTAGGCATGCTATATGTGCTCCTCTGTGTCAGTGTTTTCAAAGCAGTCACTCTTCAGAATTCAATGCATTTGTGTGACACATCATGTGCATATAACATGATTTGTTTTACTTCGAAGACACGCCAATCAAGCTACTTGGCTTTGGTCGCTCTCTGCGGCATAACGTTGCAAAGTCCCTCCAGCTATCACACACGCCGACTACCAGCTCCGTTACATGGCTGCGATGCTTTTTCTGAGCACCCCTGCGAATGCATATTCCTTTTCATTTTTATATTGGTAAGACAATTTGTTTATTATCTTTAATTTAGCTCTTTAAATAACTCGGATTCAGCGATACATATTCGAATCTTCCACATATTCTTTCCGTCCATTGCATTCACACAATGCTTTGTGTATTTTCACCCCGCATGTATTATGGGCTCAGGGTACAGCACTTGTAAAAAGTCGCATGCTTTTATTATTATGAAATAATGAGTTACACCATCGTCTTCAGCCACTTCCTTGAAGAGCATCCCGCATGGCTGCCCTGACCGCATGCGAAGTTGAGCATAGAAATTTTCTGTCATAGTCTGCATTGACCATACTAAATTTAAAGATCAAATATCTATATATAAAAGCACTATTAAAAAATGGTAATTGCAATGTGATTTCACACGTATCTAAAGCACTAATGCAGTGTTACTTTTTAACCTGCGATAAAAATAATGAGATAGTTTTTCATAACAAGGAACCCTGACTCAATTTTAGCTTGCAGTTTTTTCAGTGGAATAATATTGCGTAGTGAAAGAATATTGAAGCGGGCATGTATCTTACCTGGGCAGTATATGCTCTCTGGTCACATCTCCTGTCCCGCATCCAATGTCCAAGAACTGCTGACTGGGGTCGGTGGCAGGTTTCTTCCACTCGAACGTACGCAAAAACTCAAGAAATAGTTTTTTGTTGAGTGATATCTTGCTTGCATACGCGTCCGCCGCGTCGTTTGTCATGAAAGGGCCAATGGCAGCGGTCATTTCTGTGGGAATTAAGCAACTTGGCTATCACTTTCTTGCACTGGCATTCTAGATGCGTAAATGTAAATAAGATGACATCTCTATTTGACTTCAGTGCTTGACAAACCCCAAAAAATTGTCGTAACAACATAAAATACATATATTTCTCATAAGTAGGTATCTGTTTGGAGAGGTATAACGATAAAGAAAGGGAAAATGGTACGCAGAATTCTCACCATAAACAATAAAAAATGACAAATTTGCACACGTGCATTGTTGGTACTGATGGGCCATAAAAATTTTCGGTTTCCTGACTCGGCTACAAGAGCGCTGTGGCAACCAAGAAGCCCTCTCCAGAGGCAATCAAGTTTGCAAACGATGGTGCCTTGAAAACAAATTCTCATTGAAGAATTAATATTTTACATAAAGTTACTTCATCAAGTATTTGCGAAAGTACAAATTGTGGCTTTTATTCAGTTTCCTAGCTCCTAATGACCCTTTTCATTTGCCCGCTATGCTATTTCTGTGTTGCGCAGCAGCCTCTCAACTGAAGTCTTAGTCCCTTGCAAGCGGCAAATACTTCGAAGTCGTCACCGGCCGTGTGGCTCATGACGCCTGTGCAACTATTGCCTAAGAAGTTTTCCATAGGGTATGCCGACGTTAACATACCCCGCTCAAAGACAGCAAAGGCCACATAACTTTTCTTATTTGCACGCGCAGCGTCCGAGAATGTTGAAATCCAAATTTGAGTGTACTTGTTACATTTTTTTTGTGTAATCGTTTACCGTGTGATGTTAAATTCAGCATGCATATTCCTAGAATGAGGGTAACCACGAGTACTTGACTAACGGCGAATTAAAGCGAGGTCTTTCGCTGTTCTTGCAATAAGGTGGAGATTGCGGCACAGGCAAAGATTCGTGACCCGTCTGGGTAACGTAGAGGCGAGAGATCTGCGCCACACGTTGAGCCTCTCGCAACCCGCCCGGTTTGTCGAGAGGCGAGAAATCTGCGCCGCACATTGAGCCTCTATAATTACATCCAGGTATTGTTCATTCTTTGTGCAGTAAGCCCGTGAGTGATAGTTTGGATTGGAAGGTCGAGTACCTTTTTATAAGTTTTAGGTATCAATACATTTGGCATGTTTCTTTCAATCACGAGCCAGTTATGCATAGACGCAACGTAATGAACATGACTCATGAGAAAGGTATAAAAAGGTAAAAAAGACTCCTAGTTTATGCCTTATTCCATGTTAGATACTGCAATAATGTGGCCTAGCGTAGCCGCAATATCTTGGTCTACTCTGCGTAAAGTTCCCGCGTTATGGGCACTCACTGAGCTGACTGCCCCTGATATTCTGATGCAGCTTGCCTTATGACTTTTAATCTCGCTAGCTGTGAACAATGTCACATCTCGTATGAGACGTTCTACAGTGAAAGCTGTTATGACATCTCAACAAGGATCACGCGCGCCGCAGTTGTACGCCACCGCCACTGGTGTCCGTAACCACTACCACACGAAATAAGATTAGTATATAGAAACATCAAGAACACGATAGAATTTGAACGTGGGTACGCTTCGGGCTAGCCAAGTGATCAACCGTGGAGCCAAGCCTGTGCTTGAAAGTTCGCACCAAAGTGACAAAAACATGCTTGATGTCGGCAAAGGAATCACTATATTGGAAGTAATAAAGCGTTTTACGAGGAGAACATTAAAGGAACAACAATATATTCTTATAATATCATGTGAGTTGCGTAGCGAGTGGTTGACCGAATTCTACGACCCATTGCTATGCTTCAGGTATAATTATTTATCGATCGTCGGCCACCACATCAAAATATTGCAATAAAATTTTTTGCAAGTGTGTGTTGAGTACAACACTACTCCGAAGAATGACGAAGGATACCATAACGCTTAGTGAATGTCTGCCTACCACACATAAAATTTAGTATTTGGTGCATAGCGGCTACCCTGCCAGTTTCATTTTAGCAGTTACACAAATGTGAGGAAAAAAATCGGCAAATCCCACATACCTAGGTATCGATGTAATGCGAAGCATGCGGAGGGGAAGTGACGGTGTCAAAATTATTTTATTTAGCGACAAGTCATCAAATGACGCTAAATATATGTACAAATTCATGACTTCTTTGCGCAAACACGTACACGACCACAAGGAAAAGAGGCAAACAACACGGGCGCAAACTCACAACTGGTTTATTTTGAACAACGAACTGTACTTATTGTCACACATGTCCCGTTAAATAGGGAGGCTATCGCCGGGCTAATTCCAAGGGCCGAAGTATCGGCCCCCCGAACCGCACCACGAAAGCGTGGACAATTTAGAAGCGGTCCTTTTTGGCGCACCAGCGGACGCCAGCTGTGGCCCAAAGAACAAGTCAGAGCCGAGAGTTGATAAACCAACAAAAGTATATTCTCAATAAGGGCAGATCGAACTAACACAAGCATGCACACTCCACAATAGTTGAATACAATATGTCACACACCAAACAACGTACTACACAGTACAATTAGCCACACTCGAACAACGGACCCAGACAACAGTACACACTACAAAGCAGTCGCATGCATTGAACAACCAAGACACTTAAAGACTAAAGAGATAGTAAACCTATTCAGTCCAAAGTCCTTGGAACAAAAGTCTGAATGATACTCTTCCGAGAATCACTAACTCAAAGTCCAGCGTTGTTGCCGTTCCGCTGCCCTCGAAGTTTCTCTTCCAGGAAACCTCGCCGAAGTTCCTCTTCCAGGAAACCCCGCGTCTTCAATAGGCCACTTTCCAAGGTTCAAACTCCTTCGCCGGAAACACGTCGGCTTCACACACGCAGCTGTTGCCACGCGTCTTCGCTCGATAGTGGTAGACACACGCTCTTGCTTGTAGCTCGAGCCTTCAACCCCAGGTGGAAAACATCTTCTTCTCCTGCTTTGTCTCTACGGACAAAACCTTCGCCGACTGCACGGCGGAATCCCTACGCACTCTGGCGTTAACTTCCGTCTTCTCCTGATCTCTCATCTTGGCTGCTCGGTTAAATACCTTGCGCGCGACATTCCAGAAGGTTCTCGTCATTTCGTCGGCGCGATACGCAGCGAAGGCTGGGAAGAGGGCGAGACGGTTGGAATGCCCTGCGCGGCCGATGACTCAACTCGGTATGACCACGCCCCTTTCGTTCTAGAACTTTCGCGGGCTATCTCGGCCGCCGATGTGGGGTGAGGAGGTTCGTCGGCGAAGCCACGCTTCCAAGGGGAGAGCGCGCGCCCGGGGAGCCTTGGATGTTTGCTTTCTTTTTTTTTCATTTGACCTCGCGGCGTCTCTTTCGCGCGTTATCGCAAGAATTTGGCGGCGCGCCCATTTTTAGCGCTCGTTCTGTGACACTTATATCTTCACGTAGCCCACACGCCCCCCCATCGGTGGATCCAGGAACACACGAGATAACCTAAAGAAAGCTTATTCAGCACTACGTCATGATAAGAACAACAAAACGACAAAACTTGAAGAGCTACGCGAAGAGCTACGCGTGTGGGCTACGTGAAGATATAAGTACAGTTCGTTGTTCAAAATAAACCAGTTGTGAGTTTGCGCCTGTGTTGTTTGCCTCCTTTCCTTGTGTCCGTGTACCTGTTTGCGCAAAGAAGTCATGAATGAGTACCAACTCGCCCAGCTTCATGTACTGTTGATATGTACAAATGTTGCACGCACTCCCATAAGTTCAAGAGCTGCAGATGTTTTTTATAAGCAGTTGTTTGCACTTGCGCAACGATGCCAATTGGAACATGCGTATCAGCAATATGAGAAGGTGATATGAAGCGCTGATGCTCGCGAAGACACTAACCCTGAACAATGCCACATAAATCAACTTCAGCGCATAGCAACTAACTACAATTGACGCTAACTTTACGTAGGCAGTCGAAATTTCTGGAGCTCTTCACTATGGCGTCTCTCATATTATTATGGTGGTTTTGGGACGTTAAACACCACATATCAAATCAATCAACGTTAACCCGACATGACGGCTGTATCAAAGGAAACCCATATGCAATGTTCACAAAATTGGGTAGGAAGCACTGCAACCATTGACGTTTCACGAAGATTTGCGTCTATTTGAAAAGTAGCTGGGAGACCTAACCTCTAACGTAAAATGCTGTATTGCCACGCAGAATGCTTGGGTTCAATACCAGCTGGGACTCTAACACTTATTCTTTGTATTTGTCCGGTCGACGCTACCAATGTCGGGTATTTCTTAACGCTTGCGCGTTAAAACCACCCATTTGAGTTCTCGTCGTTTCTCGATGGATACTGAGGCCGCGTTCACACTGAGCATTCCGGCCGCCGAAAGGGCCCTCTCCGCGTCGATCGCTCTCGGAGCGATTTTTGCGGCGTCTGCCGCCGAATCGATCACCGCGGACCAATAGGAGCGCTAGTCAAGGAATTTTGAAAAATGGCGGCCAAGCCCTACTCACTTGTTGTGCCGCAGTGCACGTAACTGAATGTTGAAACCAATGGGAGTTTAAACTACTATGTGCCTACTTCGCATCCGTATTTCGTGAAAGAGGTGACCGAGCTTGCTGTTGGCGTGACCAAGCTTGTTGCGGTCTTGCAGAGCAAAACGAACCCACCAACGCCGCTGGCGTCGGTAGTTTTTCTGCTCTTCGTGCATTACAAGACAGCCACTTGCCAGCAAATTAAGCAGTACTGTGTTTTCTTGCTTCTTGTGTACGAGAATCGTTGAAGTATACACCACCAGATAGGGTAGAAGCGTTTGCGAGCCGCGATGACAACCGGGTGACAGCGCATCCATCCCGCGTTCGCCCCGTAGTAGATGGCATATTCGGCGGCGCGGGGCGCGTCCAGTGCGAACGACGCTGCGTTTCGGCGGCAGGGGAATTTCGGTCGCTGTAGAAAGCGGATGTTTCAGTGTGAACTAGGCATGAGTGTCAATCACCTGCGGCACATACCAGTCCGTAGGTATGTGCCACTCTGGCAATAGGTTTTAGATGCGGAAGCATCTTA